TACGGCATGCCACTATAAATCTATTTCAGATTCTGGCGTACTCAGACCTGCTCAAGTGGTCATGTTCTTTCGTCATTCCGTAGATGTAATGCAAAGTACTAGGGAAATAGCTAGTGGAACGCTCACGTTCGCCTTTGTTAGGTACAGTATAAACATGAAACCATTTCTTCTTGACGCGTCTAACTTTTTTTTAAGGTGGTTCAAGGAATCAGCGGTGCAGTTGGGTTCTTATAACCATCACAACATGTATGTTGTTGCCAATGAGTTTGAAGAGATGTCACGCATGTCGATATGGCCTGTTCATTTTATTCATTCACCCATTGTAGTCAAGATTAGTCACCTCGACAACATTAATGTAGCAACGAACGTGTCTCAGAGGTTATTTTTTTAAATGTTAAAACGTTCTTTTTTTTTTCTCTCAGTAGTATCTGGTTTTTTTTATGGTCTTTAGAATCTTTTTTATTCAGATCGAATGGCCCATCTGGGCAAGTGTGCAAGCTGTGTTGTAGTCAAGGGAGACTCGACTACTCTTGAGGTACGAGGTAATGAAATACCTCGAGATGGACCGGCAGGAACATCCAAAAAGGCATACACCTCTTCCAACTATTGGAATAAATGTTGTAAGTAAATTAGCATTGGCTTTGATGTTTAATTTATTAACTTGCCTTTGTAGATCTCCAAGATAAACTGAGCGTTACCAACGACGTAGCCAATCCTTGCTCATTGACGGCGTCGTTTTCCTCGTCTGACATATATGCCGCATGCAACTCAGCTTGACAGTCGCCAGACGAGATATGGAGGTGGTCCTCAATCATATGCTGAAAACGTTCAAAGTTTCTTAAACGTCTTCTCAATTTCTAAATCGAAGGTACAGTTTAATATTTTGTGTGTTTTTGATTCTCATTCTCATTCATGGCTCTTTCCGCTAAAAAACAAAAACAACCCCCGCCGGGTTCCCAAATTGGAATTTCATACAGGGATGTAGTAACTAAATGCCTCCCTACCACCAAAAAGTCTCTTATAGATTTATACACATCTGTCAGTAACGATATCACAGGACCGGTTGACACCGAAAAGACAATTAGGACAAGCATTTGGCGACATGCGAGATCTCGCCAAGGTTTTTTACTCGACATCTCGAAAGTTCCAACGATCCCGGCCGTTGAACATCTCACTACCATTGCCCACCAGTACTCCGGGGCAAAAAATTTCTATCGGATCAAATTTTTAGGCAAAAGCTCTGAGCGATATATAGAGATCTACCCCTCTAACGAGATTTTAACCAAATTCACAGCTGAAGGTGTCTACTACGAGAAATTGAAAACCTGACTCCTTCCATGCCCTGCCATAGAAAGCGATGGAAAGGTAATCCAACTAAGTCTTTCTGAGATTCCTTTATTAACTGAACCCGAAATACTGGAAGGTTTACGTAAAGCTTTAGCATCATTTGGCACGGTCATTGATATTGGCCTCCGATATTCATCCACTGAAGGATGGTTTTTGGGTACCGGGTATGCGATTATTCAGCAAGTTACAGGACAATCGTATGCCACTCTCCAGCATACAATTAATTGGAATGAAGAGAAATACTGTTATGCGACCTTCCCGGATATGTCTACTTGGTGCCGATACTGTCACTCTGAAGGCCATACCAAGTATGAATGTCAATAAGCGTCTGCTGGTATTTTGTGCTATTCTTGTGATAAATATGGCCACCGTGCAGCTATTTGTCCTGACCCTAAGTCTAAAAAAAAGAGACCCAATCAGTTTAAGAAACCTAGAAAGACCTACAAAGACCAATCCCAAAATGAAGTTGCTAAACCGGATGCTTCCGAGGAATTAATGAGATCTAAATGGGCACCCTCAATAGAGACGCCAATTAGTGCGACCGGTCATCACAAGAAGTGCGTACCTGTAGAACAGATCGATTTGACATTAGGTGAAAATTTCGAAGTGGAAAAAAGGACCATCTTAGACGAACAACTATGTAGCGATAGTGACATGGATGACTTCGACTATAACCCTAATGACGAAATTAAGGATACACAATCGAATATCGAGGATGATGAGGATGAGTATGGGACGGACACCAGTATGCATACGACCCACTCAGACATAAGTAGCAAGTCTCAGAACACTACTCAGGGAACTTTTAAAACGTTTAAGACATTTGTGGGTTTTGTCTCCAATATCCAAGTAGAGTCAGAGCCTTCTCCTAAAGATAATAATAATCTTTAATGGGGAAAAAAATCAATTTTAATTCTGCAACACTACACTGTAACAGTTTAGTGAAGACACAATCTTCAACATTGCAGCCGTTTTATATCCGTTATCTTCGTCTTCAACAACTTGATATTCTATCTTTACAAGAAACCCATGCCTCTCCTTCTACTATTCCTTCCCTTGATATCCAGTTCCAAGCTCAACAAACCTTATGGACTCACCACTGTTGTATTATATCATTCTCTCTGAAATAGTCGATTAACACAAGTATAAATACGAGACAGAAAAGAGATGAACTTTATTAAAAATAGGATAAAACCTGATATTTTAACCCAGCCTCGGAACTTCAAATAAAGAAGTCCCAAGTATATGTATATTATACTTCAACTACAACACTCCCCCGATTTTATTTTGACTCAGATTTCCACTGATCATATATTCTCGTCGGATCGTCTTATTTTGTGCAAAGTGCATCACCCCCACAACTTCTACGATCCTTTTTACATTCTCAACATAAACGCACCAGCGGATTTAAACCCGGCTCGCCGAAGTTTTTTTGAATCAGTCTGTGACATGCTATATATTCTAACGGACACTATTAATATCAATCAGCTGATTATTTCAGGTGATTTTAATTATGATGTTTCACGCGATATAACTAGTCGAAAGGGATTGTTATAAACCTCCGCACAATGGCTTACATACCCTGATTCTCTGTTCTACAACAGTATGATTCATAACAGTATGTATACCCTACCTACTTTCCAACGCCAAATCGCTACAACGTCGACTATTGACTATATATACTTAGACCTAACACTGAAAAATAACATCAAAGATGCGTCCATTCAGTATATTCGAAGTAAATGGTCAGATCATGCGCTTCTACAGCTTCAACTAAATGTAGGTACCTCAAAAATGGGCCCTGGCCTTTGACGTGGTAACCCAGCCTATGCAACCAACCCGAAGTTCCAAGCTCTACTTTCAACCAAAATTGAGCAAACATTAACTGACACTAATACGAATAATGCACAACTTTTGTGGGAAAAAATCAACGATGTCACGAAACAATGTAGAGTGCATCTTCATTGTAATGTGCCAAAACGAAATCTGTGACATTTTTAGCATTCATCTCCGACTAGTACAGGTAATATAAAAGGATATTTATTCATAGTAAGATTTTTTTAATGTGGGGACGTTTTTTTCTTTATATGAAGAAAATTTTTAGAAAGGTACAAAAATAACTTAACTTTTAAATTCACATTTCTATATGTCATTTTTAAAAGCTCTCGTGAAGTAATACGCTCAAAAACAGTAACCCTTTTGATGCGTTTGTAATTTTAAAGAACGTTCCATCTAATATTACTGCAGTAAACAAAGTTTTCATATTGTAGACGTTCTTACTTAATGTATATCTACGATTTCTTACATCTTTTTTGTGTTTTACACTTCACCATATTTGATCTCGTTTTAGATTTTAGAGGTTATGGTACTAATTACTTTATCTAACGAATATGACCTTTCAAATACATAAATTAAATAAACAACTAGTTGGATCTATTTTCAAAATACTCCAAATTATATCTTTTAAATATGAAGCGTTTCTACTTAGTACATAAAGTTTGTTTTATCCTTTTGGTGCCGTATAGGGTTGATCATATTTGATCTCAGACTCTAATATAACGGGTTGTGGCACTGAGTACTTTATCTAACGAATACGACCCTTAAAATACATAAATTAAACAAACAACTAGTTGGATCTATTTTCAAAATACTCTCAATTATATCTTTTAAATATGGAAGCGTTTCTACTTAATACATAAAGTTTGTTATTATCCTTTTTGTGTCTCACAGGGTTGACAGTAAATGTCCTCAGACTTTGATCTAATAGGCTGCGATACTACGCATCCGGGTACCCAAATTGAGAGTACAGGCAATAAGCATCTCATGGTCCGATGGCAACAAATACTATACGCGAGACAGTACTATTGGTCGGAAAAGAAAAATTTAAAATTTTGAACCTGCTTGTGACAATTATTTCCCCCACACCTAAAATCGAGTTGTAAAAATCCCGGACACAGTTTTTTTTTAGAATAAAAAGTTCATATTCTCATTTTAATCATGATTAAAATGATAGATGTCCAAAAATATTGGACCTTAATTATGACGAAAGTGTGGTGGTCCAGTTTTAACGTTTCTCTCTGCTTAAAATTTTTTTTTTCGCACATAGAAGTCCAGATGCACTCTATCAAATCTTTTGGTATTAAACATGTCTCCTGGCGAGCATCATCATTGAAACTTCTCGAGCGTAAACGAAATAGGCTAATGAGATCTAAACCACCGCTAGCCACGCTCCTGTTACTACAACCCAAAATTGATCAGATGATTGAAACTTTACAACAAGAGTTAGTCGACATCTCTGCATTAAAACCTGGTGTGGTTTGGCGGGAGAAATGTGAAAAATCTGCCAAATATTTAAAAGCTATACATAAAACTCGAACCGCCCAACAATACATGTCTGGGATACAAGTTCCTTCGTCTAGTTTAGATAGCCCTCCAACAGTCTCAAACGATACGGACCACATGAAAACGTCAGCCCGACAGTTCTATCAACATCTCTACGATGCCGAACCAGTCAGGGACGACGCCATACAAGATTATTTGGACGATATTCAGTTTTCAACGACGCTGGACCCCAATGATGCTGTAAAACTTATGAAACTGTTTACTATTGATGATTTAATAGAACAAGCTTCACGTTTGACAAAGCAAAGTAGTCCTGGTGCTGATGGGCTTAGTTATCCTTATCTTGCGGTACTATTCCAAATTCCCATATTAGAAAGACTAATCACAGATTTATATAATCAAGCCTAGGAGGGTGTATTCCCAACATCTTGGCAAGATATTCGAGTGCGACTGTTACGAAAAAAAGGGGATCTGTGTCTACTAAAGAACTGGCGACCAATTTTATTAATCAATTGTGACGCCAAAATTTTTACACGACTACTCGCTCAAAGGTTAGGTTGTATGATGAACAAGTTTATCAATCCCTATCAAACGGGTTTTATAACCGGACGATTTATTGGTGATAATGGTCTAGCACTGTCCATGATCCTGGATCAAGCACGTGGATTTGACTGCCCTGGTGTTGGGATCTTACTTGAGCAGGAAAAAGCCTATGATCGGGTTCACCCTCTATACCTGTCTCGAGTTCTTGAACGCTTTGGATTCCCCAGGTTATTCATTACATGCAAGCGCCGACTGTTTTTTGATAATACTGTATATGTCAACATCAATGGATATTTCACTGACGCAGTTTCACAAAAGCGTGGTTTACGACAAGGCGACCCGTTATTACCTCTACTATTTAATTTAGCTCTTGAACCGTTCATCCTGTCTATATTACAAGATGATAGTATTACAGGCTTTCAACTGCCTTCAACTATTAATACTGTCAGTACTCCTATCAAATGTTTAGCATACGCAGATGACGTTTGTGTGATTGTAAAAGACGCTCTCGAACTAGATGGCCTTGAGTACCGTATGGATAAGTACGCTAGGGTGTCTAATGCCAAATTCAACGAAGACAAATCCGAAGCCTTCTCACTCAATGGTAAACATGATAGCAATTGGGACACGTTCCTGACTTCTAGAGCCCTTTTGATCTACTATCACGAATGTTCACTCTCGATACTGAGATATCTTGGTTTTTATCTGCCATACTCAGCTCAACAACGAAAATCGCTGGAGAGTAAACTACTGAGTAGTATTAGACACCAAAGATACGTTTTTTCTCAACGACAGCTGTCCATACAGGGTCGAGTTACTATCGCAAATATCCTACTACTATCAAAAATATGGTACTGTCTACGTCTTTTCAATCCGACTGAACAAATCTTTAAAGATATTCGATCCACAATCTACCAATTTATATGGCAAAAGAAAGAACCCAGTCTCCGTTTGGAAATGCTGTTTTTACCACATGAGGTTGGTGGTCTCAAACTACTCGATCCAGTCATCCAACATAAAGTCCTCCAAAAACGATGGTTGAACTATTGGTTAGCACCTAACTTATAGCCATCTTTTGTGTTTCCTATCACGCTTGATCACCTCAGCCACTTCCAAAATGCATCGATGTATCCACTGCTCCCATTACATGACTTTGAATTCCGAAAGAGCCCAGTCTTGAACAAGTTTTCCATATGGCATGTCATTTTCGATAAGTTCGATTGTTTTCAATCTTCAACCAAATTCCAAATGATAAATGTCCCTGTTTCTAATATTTTGGCTCTTCCACTTTGTAAGGTCATTCAGGTTCCAGATAGTTCTCATTGGTCACTCAGACATCGAAATTTTGCAGCGGGCAACTTTCTTGGTATTTGATGAGCACCAACAACGACTGCGGATACGAGTCCGAAGTGAATTCTCTCGCTTTCCAAGGCTCTGTCAAACTCTGGCCAATGATAATATATGTACTCGTACCATTAAACTTGAAGCGTTTGTATGGCCACATATTCTTGCAGCACCTGCTCCCACACTACCCGAAGAATGGTCCTCTCACGAATTAGTGTCTCAAATGCGACTTCAACCACTCTGGGGACAATTTAACCCTACTGTCTTACGCAGGTAATATTAGCAACACTACAAAACGGTTCATAATTTCCCAATACGGATATTAAAAAAATTTGGAGCTGCCTTATGTACCCATAAGCACGTACCGTTTACTATCGCGCTTTTTCTAAATGCATCCCTACAAAACAACTGGTGTATAAACATTTTGTTAACGTCACTTCCCCTCAATGCTTTTTCTGTGATACTGCCGAAGACTCAATTCTACATTTCTTGGTGGAGTGCCCCATAAAGCGACAGCTTTGGCATAGGGTACTGTCCCACTACTACCCATATCTTAAATTTACACCTTCGATGTTATATGAATTAATCTGCAATCTAAAACATCTATTGTCTGTGCAACACGAAGAATGGTATCTTTCCATACTTTCTATCACCCTCTGGAAAATAGGGAACCTTTACTGGCTTCATGGCACCGACAATCCGCGACCTTTTGCTGCTGCCAACCTACCCAAATCAGTGTCCAGAATTATTCTCCAAATCAACAAGATTATCAATCCTCCTTCCAACATAGACTAACTCTATAGCTTATATGCCATCCACAATCATTTGTTTCAACAAATTCCACCACTCCGCAATGTGTGACTTAAAAATTTGTATTAAATCATACCCTTAATAAAAATTTATTTACAAAAAAAAAAAAGTGTTTTTGATACTTATACTATACTTACATTGGCCATTCTTGACCCCATGTTAGAAATTACGGCATATTGTTGTATTTCTGCTGCTGTTTGTGTCTGGCTGCGACGGACTCGTCTTCGCACATTCGCCTGGTGCGTTCTGATACGTGTGATCAGAACAGAGGCTTGCTTCTCTCCAAGCTGGTGAGTATTCGGAAGGCCATACATGTGAATTTCTTCCAGTCGAAATTGGTTCAAGATATTGTTTTTAAAATCGAGAATTGTTCCCGTCAACAAAGTTGAATTAACATCCCATGCAAGAAGAGTAAATTCCCTAAATGCACGCTTGTAGAAACTTCGAATCAGGGACTACAGATGGTAATAATTGTTGAGGATATCATAGATATAATAATAAAACTTAAATATCACATCACCTAAAGGATTGATAATAAATATAAAAGTTAACACTGTGAAACTTTTTATCGGTCCAATTTTTGAAAAGATTTTGAAAAAGTTAGACCGGCGGTCGCGGTCCAAAAATTCGACCTATTATTTAAATAATCTGTCAAAAAATTGGACGGGTTTTTTAAATGATCTGTCGAATTTTTGGACCGATACTGACGAGTACAAGCTATAGTTTCAGCAAATAGTAACGTAGTAACCTTATTGTTTAAAAGAATGGTATTGGCTAAAAATACGGGTAGTGTACACATTTCATGGGTTGCTACCCTTGCACATATTGAAATTAGGATTGTATATATTGAAAAAAAAAGACTTTCATTTAAATAAAAACACGAAGAGTAGTTATAGACATTGCAGAAAAAAAATGGTGTAAACCCCACGCGGATCTATCCAGACTAACTAACAGAGCAGACTACTACTGTTCAAAACGAAAGGACACGGCCAGGAGTACTTACCTACGAATAATAATGTTAATAACAAGCACACTTGTTGTTATGATTATAATACGTACCTTAAAAATAAACCAGTGGACTTGGCGATGCACTTAACACACCATACCTGTATAACTATGGTTAGAATGTAGTTAATAAAATGGATAACAAACAGATAATGATATAATAATAGTAAGGTTTACCTTAAAGGAAGTCGCTTATTTAACAAGTGCTTGAATAGACATGATAAAAATATACCTTTTGCAAAAAACTATATACCGTGTTAGTTTTATAGCTGGCTCAAATACAGTATGACTGAACTTGATAACATTTATAGACTTACTATTATTTTTTCTTACTTAAAGAAAGAAGAAAGAAGAAAGAATAGAGAAAAAAGAAAAAAAAAGTTTAAATAGGGCAGGTTAAAACTCAGAGAAAATAATTCCCCACGTAAACTACGAGACGCTCTTGGAAGGCGCTTATCTGGCTTTTGTTTTGCTTCATTGGCTTTTCTTTTTTTATTCTTGCTATTTTTGTGACCAACATCCAAAGAGACAGGCATAGAAGTAGAGACAGTAGACGATCCAGAAGGAGTAGATGAAGCATGCATTAACTGCATCATATTCCTTACAAGATCAAGCGAATGGGGTAAGCTGTCTTTACCAATAATTATTAACGGTATAATATTTACTGACTAACTTTCTTTAGGCCCCTAAGATGCTACTCAGCCAGATCTCTCGAAAGGTTCATTGGAGCTTACAAAAAACGAACCAGATCAACGATGCATCCAGGTGCAAATGCTGGTAATATAATGGAAACGCGGGAAATCTTCAAGTGTTTTCAATTGTCCAACATATTTGACTTTTCTGCCTTGACTGCTGTTGCCAACAATCCCAATAACTACATGTCCCATCCCAACGTTACCAAGTCTAGCCACGGGGAGGCCTCCACTTTGTAGACTCACCCCCCAGACCCCAACGCTGAAAAAGAAAGAACATTAGTTTCAATAATATTACGAGTTACCAGCACAAAAGACGACACAATGGGAGAGATCACCACATCAGAAAAAGCCAAAACCACAGGAAAGACCAAAACCAGAGATACTAGCCTATGTTAGTTTTAATAATGTTAAAGATTACCAAAAACTCCAAGACGAAAGACGACACCACAGGAGAGTTCAACACATCAGAAAAAAACCAAAGACCAAACCATTAATACTAGCAAATGTTAGTCTAGTTGCGAAACTATTGAAATTGAATGTGCGTTGATATATACCCATACAAAAAAATACAAAAAATTAAAGGAAGGAAAAAGATGAAAAAAAATTTTCTCGTTTTAAAATTTAAGCTAGTGTGTGACTTTCTTTTCTATATTTGTCATCGATAACATTCTTCGGAAAAAGAAAATTATTAGGATAAGTCATTAAAACACGAGTTGTACAATTTAGAAAATATAAATTATATGAAAACGTTAGGTGGTTTTAGTCTATTTTGACCGGTAGTAAAGATACATTTTATGCCACTATTTATTAAATATATCATTTTTGCCAAAGATCACACCGGTATTTGGGGATGAGACCTTCTTAGGGGACTACAAAATCCCTAATGTCACCTCTGGAGACCTTGTTTTACCTTTAAGTTTTTTTCACTTTTTGTGTTGTATATTGGCTGCCACCTTTCTGTTAAAGTTACCAGTAGAATACAACGCATGCTTGTTTCTTTGAAATTGGCCTTTCATGCACGAATGTAATTGTTTAAGGCGTGATTTGTCAAGAGCTTCAAAATGTCATCAACTCCATCTATCATGTGTTGCCATAATGTCTTGTGAAATCATTCCCCAAATAACTATAATAATACCATCTTGCATTACATCTAGCTCACTGTAAGAAGTACTTTAAATCAAGTCTTCCAAATCTTATCTGACTCCATCTTTCTAATAATTTTTGGCGATAGGTAATTTGTATTCCAAATGTATTTTTTGCGGCTGTGACCAAAGGATAATACTTTCTGAGCCATCTAACTATTCAATGTCCACGTAATCCAGCTTATTCTTACTCTTCAAATTTTCAAAACTCTTTTTTGTTGATGGTACCTTTCATTCTCACTGACTTTGTCTGAATTTATCATATAAACAACACGGTATTTTCTTTTTGTGCGATATCTAGTATAAATAATGTTAGTCGTTTCTGGAATAAAACCATTGTGAATCTTTGACCTAAGGCACTGCTGATCTTCGTAGATGGTCTCATATTTTTATACAAACCTTCCCTGTTCGCCAAGTATTCGTTTGTTTTATAATGTCTTATTTTCTCTTCCTATGTGGCACTAATTCTGAGAAACGTATTTCATCTGTTGTTGTTTTTTATTACGTAAGGAGAATGAAACGAGGTTCATGGGTACTGGTATATTCGAAAATATTACTGCTATTGCATTGGCTGATTATTTGAATAGCGCCTTTCCAGCATCTGTGGGTAGTCAAAAGTTGGAATCGATAAATTATAAACTGCGTGCACCATATTATAAACTTACATTATATACACACAACATACAGACGTCCGTATGCCTATGCCTTAAAAAATGAGAAAACCAAACTGGTAATGAGACCTCCCATCAAAGTGATTCATTCCTACAATGATGCATTGGAGTTTTCAAGCAACAATGAATTACTAGGGTAAATACTTCGGGATCATCTCCTCATATTATTTCACTAGCCTGGAGACCTTTTTTGGTAACAAGGAACAATCTAGTTGGTACCATCAGGGGAATGATCATAAATGTTACATTGGGAGATGATCCGAGAATCTTGTAATGTTAAAAGTCTCTGACAAACTTCGATTTAATGTCCATACTATTGCGTAAGAAAATCTTGGTGAAAATTGGTACATCTCGACGTCGAAGATGATTATGATTATGGTTTTCAAGACTAAAAGAGCTTGACCCTTTTTATTAGTTTGGTAACTTTTGTTTTTATACTTGAAAAATCCAAGCCACACGTTACTTAAAAACATTGGGCAAATCCAGTACTTTGAAGTAGGGATGTTTGCAGCACACTGGAAATTCCCCGAGACAACGTTTTTTATTTCTTGGTCTCTTCTACACTAAAATTTTCTCTAACATAATTCTTTTGTTCCAAGGGCTCTCAATATGATACTTAGCTGGATAAGATCAATTTAAAAGCTTACTACGCTAACATCTGTGGTGTACCGTTTTCCATCTATGATTTTTCATAGTTTCTGTTATGTTGAAGACTTGCATTATGTGCCACTCTTTCAAGTTTGGTTTTTATGGTATTTTTTTTAAATCATCTCACTAAACTTTGTCTCGTTTTGTGTCGCCTTATCTTAAATTAGCCTAAGCCAATTCGTGTTACAGCTAGTGCGCTTGTCATATGTCGTATGTATAGCGTAATTTGACTAATTTAATTACTTCTTATCTTGGCACTCAATTATAGTACATATACGCTATATATTATAAGTACCATATTTGGAATAAATTTCTTTAGGTTTGACACAATGTCAGATCCATCATATGTGTTGTATCGCAGATGTATTGAATCATAGAAAACAATAGAAATCCAATATTAGATCTCAGTAGACAGACTGGAGATCTTAATCATGGAATATTGCTATGAGCGAATAACAATACATAAATAAACATTTATTTAATTCAAATGGATTGACGATTGAATAGTTACTCCCGATTTGATTTACTATTAGTTTAGACACAGCTTCGTTAAAGTATAAATACGACCTCATTCAACTCTTAATAAAAGGCTATCTTTACTTTTAATATTCATAAAGACCCATTTGATATCTACGATATTACAATATGTCCAGCTGAGATCAGATTTCATAATCAATCCTGCATTGGTCGCGTAGCTGTTGTATTCCAGCAGTATATAAATCACTTTTACGGTTACATACATGAACTCCGAAGATTGAGGTAAAATATCATCTTTAACCTTTTGGCCTATGACAATGATATTTCTTAATTCACGTAACACTCATATATTTACTTCAGCTATAGAATGTTATTTTGTTATCCTTGATGAACCTTTCGGGATATTGACAGTTTAGACAATATGTCAATATAACCTACCCACGGTAGTCATCTTCCCGTTTGCTGTAAATAGTTGTGTTCTTCGTGTATAAAAGAAACCCACATGTTTATGTTTAAAAAAGTCCAGTTCTTTTTTGCAATCTGTTTCAGCACTCTGTCTTATTGCCTTTTTTATTTTTTTTATTTTTCAGGAGCTGCCGAAGCTTCTAGTTTCTCATAAATTTATTTTATAAATCCAATTTAGGACTCTGTCATTGAATGGATAAACTATAATGCACCAGAAGTGCCGGATATGGGTCAACTAGCTGCCTTGTATATAACAATAAGTTATGTTTCTTATGTAACTGATTTACAAATCTTATTACATCATTTTAGAGTTCGAGGGTACACAGTCAATTCGATCTGCGCAGGAAAAATCTACCAGTAATAATTTAATATAACAGGGACCTCTATTTTATTTTGACAAACTCTCCAACTTATAGTAAAAGATTATAGAGTCTCATTTCTTTACTTGCTTGATTTTCCAATATACTCATATAAATGTTATTGTTTAAATTGATGTCTTCTTTTTGTATGAAGGATAATACGAGATGTGGTCCGTTCATAAAAGAAAGGATCAGTATTTAATATAAAGTACAAATAAGAATTATATGGATAGTAATACATAGTAATTGTATTTCCCAAATCACGGCAATCAGACCAGCAGGATTGCGCTGAAAATTGTTTGTGTTCGGTATTTTGAACCCAAAATTCAGAATGTGTTGTGCAATTGCTGTATAACTGTATGATGGTGTTCAATGCAAAAAAGCAAACGGCGTAAACATGAAAATTCGGACGTAAATATGGGGTACTTCAAAGGACGAATCGTATTTCTACTAATAACAAAAAATGTGTGTATGTATTGTGCTGTCAGAAGCGGGGCGGGGTAAGCGCAGAACAGTATAATTATTTATGTGAGAACAGGAAGACAGAAGTTATATATATATACAGTATAATAGTATTTTTACATGTATAAAAATAAATGAAAGCCGAAAGAGATTTATTCGAAGAAGAAAGGAAAAGATATAAGATCTTAATTACAGAAGTACACATAAATAAACATGACTTTATTTGTAACAATTGACAGGACTAGTAGACGATGGTTCAGAGATCAAATTTACCGAGACAGAATCTTAGTCATATTGAATTCGAGACATATTTGTGGCATCGCGCATAGATAGAGATGATGACATGAGCTGGTACTACCTATGTTATATAACGGACTTTAAGGACAAGGATACAAAGACAATGTATGTTAAATATGTTTCACAAGTAGAAGGTATAACAGAGATAAACTATTTGGAGCAGAGACGCTGGACAAGATGCAAAAGTCATGTTCAACATTTAAATGTGCGACAAAAGGAAGAGAACAGGAAACATGTGTTACAAAGACGATGGTCTGGCTTCGTTTCATTAACAATATGAAGCATTTTGCAGGATAGTTTTCAAACCGCAACCATCGGAGTTCATGACCACAAGACTATTTTACGTCTCGGCTATTGTATTAAGAATGGACACATGAACAAATATGCAGACACTATAAAGCAGAACGATAAGCGACATTTCATGAATTGTTGGAAATAAAACTCTTTATTAAGAATAAAGGAATGGTGGTAATTTTGTCTTGGGGAAGGAATAATGTTTTTGTCATAAGCAAATTCAATTTATACTCGTTAATTTGCATGGGAAGAACTAATATAGGTTTAAGCTATATAATCGGACGAGGCGGTTTGTTTTATTGGTAAGATTACGTAAGGAGGAGTTGATAATCCAAGATTGGCGAGATTTAATGGACATTGAGAAGGTCAATAATTTGAGAGAGCGAAAAGCCAGACCAAAATTAATGTGAACGATGCCTTTGACAAGATCCTTTGTAGCTGATATGGGATACTGACTTATAATTTAGTTCAATGGTGTATACGTTTTTTTAAAGAGTGAGGTATTTACCTATGTACTGTTTGTTCCCAGCACTACAAGACGTTTTGGGGAAGACAAGATATATCGCTTTGGTTTCTTTTACAGGGTATAAGTCCGTTCTCAGGATTTCAATCTTATCTTGTACCTAACAATTAGAACCAAAAAGTTATTCGTTTTGTAATGATTAATATATTATGCAGAGTACTTAACAAAAGCGGGAGCACCTGGTGAAGCAATCAATATGAAGGAGAGAACCGAAACGCGTTAGTCGCTTAAAATACTGATAGCAAACATAGGACTACCGAAAAAAAAAAAAAAAGCCTATAAACTCTCAACGGACCTAAATCTACTTGAAGAGAGCGTTTGAACTATTCAGCAAATTAAGTAGCTAATACGTAGGATGGCAAAAAAGGCATTATTTGCTTAAAGTGCTTGTAACCAGCTTCGCATTACTAAGTACTACAGTCTATTAATTCTCAACGGACCAAAGTCGACTTGGAGAGAGTTTTCAAAGTATAACCGTTCGTCAGCGCATCCTTCAGCCCATACAAGTCTTACCAGATTACGCATTCCCCGATGGCAACAGCACCTTAATCAATAAGCGCAGGAGTGATCCCATAGAATGAAGAAGAATTCAGAATGAGTAATTGTTATAAATGAAAGAAAGTTCGAGAGAAAAATTAAGTCAACAAATACCCCAGTTATTATC